TAGAATTCCTGGGTGGTGTGAGTATGCTCTCCCAGTATGCTCTCAGCAAAGGTAAATAACAAACCCAATGGTGTGTGCAGAATTTCTGACCTAGAAGACTTTTATCTTTTTTCTTTTTTTTTTTCTCTTGAACCCAAATCTTACCCCCAGTATAATATGAGTACACAAGCAAGTCATACCAATTAGGCATCCAGTAGAATTTATAATTAGTGTTTATCTGCTCACAAATACAAATGCTCCTGAGAAGCACTGAAAACCCCCCTCAAACAACAAGAAATCTAGAGCCTAGGTTGTCAGAGAAGGGGAACCTGAGCATGGGATTGTGTAAGTATGTTTCAAGAAGGGTGAAGTAGCATCCTTTCTACTGTCAGAGAATCACGGTAATGCAGGTTGGAAGGCAACTCTGCCTGTCTTCATTGGCACATGCTGGTATTTTAATTAAAAAGCTCTGATCTTGAACACAGTGGTAGAGGTGAGAAAAGCTGTTACCCTCTGTAGTTCTTTCGTTCATCAGTACATCGTTCTGAACAGAAGGTGACAGTCCTTTTGCTGTTTCCCACTCTTTCCAGATAAGGACTCGCATGCAGCAACAAATGCACAGTGCGGGTCCTCCAGCATCCCACGTCGGCATGCTGGTAGAGGCTAGGTAGGAGCGAGTGACTCTTGGAAATCTTCCTAAGTGCTGGATGCTGGAGGAGAGTTTCTGTGGCATAACACATTAGGGTCACAGAACTCTCTTTTTTCACAGCAAGTAATTTTGAAATATTTGACACCGTGTCTTACTTGGGCTTTTTTTTTTTTTTTTTTTAATACCACAGACAAACTATGTTATGGTGGAGTAACCTAAAGGTAAAATCAATGACTGCAGTAGTACAGTCCTTCTTTAAAAAATAAGAAAGAAAACAACCAAACTTCAAAAGCTTAAGTGAGAGAAGGAGGAAAAAAAAAAAAAAAAAAAAGATCAACTTCCTATAGTTTAAAAAACCAAATCCCCAAACGTGGTACCAAACAGTGTCAGCCCTGCCCTCTAGTGCTGCAACCAAGTAAGAGGTTGTTGCATGGTTCACAGCAATGTTGTCCAGGGCCGGGCTCACCTGATTATTTTTTTAAGTTATATTAGAGTGTGGATTTTTTTGTTTGTTTGTTTGTTTGTTTGTTTGTTTTTCTAGGGGGGTCATGGTGTTTATAGTGTTTTCATAGGATTTTGCTGCAAGACAATGAAAATCAACCTCAGGCTTTGGTGGATGATGGGGTCTATTAAAAAACCTTAAGTATCTTGAGCATCTAAGATAATCATTATGATAAAAATTTAAATAAGCTGCAAAAGAGTAAGAGTGTTTATGTGATTTATGATTAACCGAAGTGTCGTCTCCACAGTATCGAAGGCGAGTATGTTCCTGTGGCAGGCGACGAGGTCACCTACAAGATGTGCACCATCCCTCCGAAGAACGAGAAGCTTCAGGCGGTGGAGGTGGTGATTACCCATCTAGCTCCTGGAACCAAGCACGAGACCTGGTCGGGGCACGTCGTCAGCTCCTGAGGCGTCCCAGAGGGAGCGTGGCTGCTGCCTGCATGGTCACCGCTCAACAACTGGCTGCAGGGGACCTGTCCTAAGAATATTCTACGTATTGTGTGGGAGGAAATACTGCATTGTCAATAAATCAGACGCAGGCCAAAATTACCATTTTCATAGCTGGCCTGAAAAAAAAAAAAAGGCAATTCAAATGCTAATGAAAAAAATCTAGCGTAATGTGTTTACAAAAAATATATTTTAAAGAGACCTAGTTTGTGTGCTTGGTGGAGGAGGGGAGGTTTGGTTTTTCTTTTATCTTGTGAGCTGATTGTGTGAAATGCCCAGGGGAATCGGGGAGAGGTTTGAAGGAGAGCTCTTCTAGCGCAGATGGCTGTAGTGGGGACACAACTCCGAGGCCCTGGAGCTGTGCGAGCACTGCGTTCCCTTGAGCTGCTCTTCTGTAAGGGTTGGAGTACACTTATTGCTGATAACAGTGCCTGAATGCCTTGGCTTGAGAGAGAGAGGGGTGTTCATTGCTGCGATTTGTTTTCCTTGTGGAAGGAAGTTCATGAACAGAGCAGCTGCTGCAGGGTGGAAAATCTCCATCTGGTGGTTACGCTCCGATGGCCACGGCTGGGTGCCCTTCAGGTCCATCATTTGCAAATGGCATATCTGCGTATGTGTGGAATATTGTGGTTTTAAAGCCCGGATTGTTTGTGAATTTACTTAGGTGCCTTGATGGTTGATTAGCAACAGATTTTAGAGGCCAGTATTAAAAAACAAACAAAACCAAACCAAAATTTAAAAAATTTGCTTCAAGGTAAGTGGTAGAAAGCTGTAGAGTAGTGGATACTTCATAGCCTCTGACTGTGCCTGGATTTAGACAAAGCTGAAGATTACCTTCTTGATTGCATATAGTTGAATGTCTGCCATGGTATTTCACTGGGCAGGCAGAATAACTGTACTTCTGAAAAGCAAGTTATATGCTATTCAGATGACAGTCTATAAAATACTGTGCGAGTTATTTAACAGGCTCAGCTGTCGCGGTGGAGTAGATTCTCCAGCTGCTTCCCTGGAAAACTTGCTTGGTAGGATGTGGTATGGTCACCCTTGCCCTGACTCTTCTCTGCCTGCAAGATTTCATGTAGTTGTAGTGCGACTACATTAATTCTGTTCCTATTTGCCTTCCACCTTTTTTTCAAATGAAGCATTTTTCTCTTTTATGTTCCTAACAGTGGATTTTTATTGACTTTGCAAATAAAAAAAGTAAAAAAGATGACATGATACTCTTCTGTTAGTTGTGTGAAACAGTATAACTTCAGTTGCCTATTTGTAGTCTTAACAACAGGCGCTTGCTGTCATGAAATGTCTTAAGACTCTTGTCACAGGAGATGATCTGTTCTGAGGTCTGACTGGGAGAGACCACAGGTGTATGGAGGTTAGTAACTGCTGTGATGACTTGTTTTACCTTAGCTGTACCTGTATTACACTATAGTGTACGGTAATGACCAGCCTGTAGTGGGGTTTTGGGTTTTTGTTTGCTTTTTATTAACCATAAGACTTGTGGCGAACTTAACACTATCGAGTTTGTTGGAATATCACACGCTGCTTCCTTTACAATAAATGTGACCATTATAATGCTTTAATAGACGTCTTCAGTCTGCTCTCTCCATAGTCGGCATTGAAGATGATTACCATTAGAGACAGAGGAGAATGCACATGCCTTGCATATGCACACCTGTATGATGATATTTAAAAGTTTTTTAAAAAGTGTTGTAACATCAACTGACTGGCATTACCAGAACAATTAGGGAGTAATTTACCAAGCTTTCTAGCTGCTTAATAGCTTAGTGTATAATATGTACTACTTGTGTAAATACATTTATTGTCATTATACAATATTTAGTATTAACTATTATTTATATTAGCATATAGTAGGGGGAACAGGGAGGTATAGCACAGCCTGGTCATTTCAGCTGAAACTTGGGGGAGGAAGGCCAGAACATCTCAGAAGGGGCTCCCAAGACAGAGCAGCCACTCTTCAAAAAAGTTGCAGCAAAGCTTTAGCCAGGCTTCAGGGGCTGGGGTCCAAGCAGGGGCTGCTGAAGGCAGGAACAATTGTGCCTGCCCTCTTTGTTTAAGCTTGCACTAGAGAAAGTAAGATGGAAGTAAGGGACTAGGCGTTGTGGGTTGCTTTGCTTTGTTTTGTTTTTTCTCCCCTCAGAGAGACAGAATGTTAGCTTTGCATCTGCTGGCAGGAGAGGCAGAAGATAAACCTTAGCTATTGGCAATGGCTGTGCAAGTCTAACTAGCAAGCTTTTAAGATTTGAATGTATGCAGGTATGTGCACACAGATGATTGTCTTTGAAGCTGAAAACAAATCTGGGTTTGGTCTTGCACAGGATGTTTTGCGTAGGTAACTTTCTGCAAATACAGGAAACAACCATGCAGTACAGTAACCAAATAATAGGATACATCACATGTGTGTACACACAAAGCAGCAGCTATTAAAATCTGGCTATCTTTAAAGAGCCTTCCTGCACTGCAGATGGTTCTGGTCCAAAGTCTGTTCCCATTAAAATGGTTGAGGCTGATTTACGCTATGGAATTAGGAACACGAGAAGGGTGTTAGAAGGCAAGTTCTGATGCATGAAGGCATCACAGCTCCCCCTCCTTTTTTGTAAGCCCTTTTAGGGATTTTGGTTTGTACACAAAGGTTGTATTCTCCCCATTTTTACTGTGTAAGTAAGTGTCACATAAACTTTGAATTGGAAAAATGGAAGTCAATCATTTCTTTGTACAGACAGGCAGCATATGACAGGTCTGCTTTGCATATTTTATTTGCCAAAATGACAAATTGAAATAGTAATTTTTCATGATGAGATTTTATTCTCCTTTACTAAATTAAACTGTTCATACACAAGATTACTTTCCTAATGTCAGATGAGAAAAGTAATATTAACAGTTACACTGATTGTCATGCTTCAACTTGAATTTTAATAGAAATGTAGTTTAGGTAATCTTCCTTAGTACTAAAATCTCATCTACCCTTAATGTCTTAGCAGGAAAATCAGAAATGTAATTAGTGACAGAAGTACATTTTGCAACCGTGCTCAAGTTGTTTCAATTAATTTTTTTTTTTTTTTATTTTTTAGATTTAAAAACAGTCTGCAAAAAGTGTAGGTACCTTGAAATGTACTGTGCATTGGCACTGCAACTGTACTGAGGAGGTAACTTTAGCACGAGTTGGTCCAGCCTTTCCCGTAGTGGTAGACTCAGTGCACCTTCTGACCATCACTGGAACATGTGTGAGGTCAGGGACTTCTGGCTCAGTTCTACCTTCCCACCCCCAGAAAGAAATAAAACCTGTCTCTTTGACTCATCTTCCAGTTTTAAACAAGAAAATCCCAACTGTCTTACAATTCATGTCTTCATAGCACAACGCAGTATTTTAAAAAAACAACTCTAAAAAGTTCATCTTTTAAATAGCAGCTTCAAAATAAAAACTAGGGATAAAGCCTTGCAGGCTGATTTTGAGACCATAAATCAACTATAGGCAGATTATGCCTCCCCACCCCAGTGTAATTAATTAGCTAAGGAAGTTTACTGATGACTTAAAAAACAACCAGCCAAAAGGAGAAGAAAATACTTGTGCAAATGGAAATAGTGCAAGGATGGTGCTAAATAAGCTCTGCTGTATTCCACTGGTCAGCAAAGTTCTCTTCAATTAAAACATTTCTCTTCAGTAATGACTGACCTGCAAAGCACTTGCTATTCATGATCAATTACAAAAACCAATACAGAATGAAGGAAGATGTTTTGAGTTGTTATTAAGCTGTCTTAACCATTTTGTAAGTGTGAATTCTAAGTCCTTTATTTAAAAAATAGCTCTTCACAGATTCTTCTTGTATCCTGTGGGGATGTGACGCTGTGGCCTTCTGTTCTGGAGTCTGTGAAAATTTCATAGTCATTCCCTCCCTGAAAACAGAAGAGGAAAAAAGCAGAAGAGAATTTAATTTTAACTTAACGTATAGTCACAGTCTTGGGGTGGAAAAGGAAATTACAAAAAGAAGGGGCAGAACATAGTCACGACCAAGATGTCTTGCAGAAAGCTGAAAAACTGCAAACCACCATTTTGAGATTTTGCATAATATGTTTATAGCACACCTGTGCTGAAATGTCTGCTGAATACCACGAACACTTGCACGAGAACTTCCTGACCTGCACATTAGAGTTGGTAATGAAAGAGTAGAACTCCCAGTGTAAGTTTAGCTGTGTTTTTAGTTTTGGATAGCAACCCCATATTGACTTACAAAATTTGTTTACTTGTTGATATTGGGGTGTACAGTTTGTTACAGAACACTATACCAACATACGGTGTTTGTAACTTACTTGCATTATCCTCTTCCTTCTAGCTTGGTTTTCTTCCCTTTTAGTTAAATTATTGTTAAGACTGTTAATCCTTTGCTATTGCAGGAGTGTTTTGGCCTGTCGTGGTTTAACCCCAGCCAGCAACTAAGCACCACGCAGCCGCTCACTCACTTCCCCCCCCCCCCCCCCCATCCAGTGGGATGGGGGAGAAAGTCAAGAAAAGAAGTAAAACTCGTGGGTTGAGATAAGGAACAGAAAAGAAGAAACTAATAAAATGACAACAGTAATAATGAAAGGATTGGAATGTACAAATGATGCGCAGTGCAATTGCTCACCACCCGCCGACCAACACCCAGCCAGTCCCCGAGCGGCGATTCCCCGCCCCCACTTCCCAGTTCCTATACTAGATGGGACGTCCCATGGTATGGAATACACCGTTGGCCAGTTTGGGTCAGCTGCCCCGGCTCTGTCCTGTGCCAACTTCTTGTGCCCCTCCAGCTTTCCCACTGGCTGGGCATGAGAAGCTGAAAAATCCTTGACTTCAGTCTAAACACTACTTAGCAACAACTGAAAACATCAGTGTTATCAACATTCTTCGCATACTGAACTCAAAAACATAGCACCCTACCAGCTACTAGGAAGACAGTTAACTCTATCCCAGCTGAAACCAGGACATGGCCTTGCTAGCTACTGGTCTGATGTGACATCTGTAACTGGTTTCTAATCACAGGAGAGCAATGAAAGATCCTTTCACAGCTGGCTCAGGAAACAGGCGCTGCCACCTGCATGAGCAGAGATCACTGAAGGCCGCAGCTTCGTGCACTACAGGAGGCAGTTATCTAATTTTTGTATGTTGTTTGCCACACTGCTTTCCAGTGAGTCAGCAGCAATTCTTGCTACTTCAAAACTCTGAAAATGCTGCACTGCCAATTATAGGGTTTAAAGTCAACTGTCCATAAACTCTATGCCAGAGGGACAGGTGATTACTTTTGCAGCTGGTGTCAAGGGGGGAAAGCCCTTTAATTTAAACCTTGTCTTTTTCTTATAAAACTTGGCCTTTTTAAGTTCCTAAAGCTATGAAGTTCTTTGTAACTTACAGTTATAAAACTGTAAGTTCTTACAAAAACTAAGCCTTTTCTAATAATAAAACTTAGCCTGACACTGTCCCTTGGCCGCGTTCAGACAGCCTTAATTTCACCCAAGTCCTTGTGCTTGCCATTGCCCTCAGTAGCTCTAGTTAGGTCTCTGCTCAGTATTTTCAAAAGCCTCTCAATCACCCTCCAGAGTTGTTAGCTCTCCCCAATGACTAGGGAGAGGGATTACATACAATTTCAGTTCTTCTGTGTGGAGACAGACAGAGTGGTTAGCCAAAGGAACAGTATTAAATGCAATGGAAAACAAATACATTTAATAAACACCAGCCAACAAGAAGCATCCATCTACAATAACCGAACAGGACAATCAGATTTACATAGTCGTGTCACCTAGGTTTTTCACAAAATTACAGATGTTCAATTTAAAAACATACTCTATTAAGTCTGTCAAGAACACTGTGTTCACTTCAGGAAAGAGAACAAAAAATTCTATGCTCACAGCTATCTCCCAGCACTATGCTGAGCAGTATTGCACAGCTAGTTAAACACGGACACTTATTTATATTCTGACTTCATTTCTTGTCAGGCATAAGGCAATTGGTTAGAACCCACAGTGCTTGTGGTTTAAAAGAGAAGCTCTGAAAAGTATATACAAAACAATATACTCACTGGCATAGTCTTATCTCCAAAGAAGTAAATCGTCTTGTATCCATCATTGGCAATGATTCCTAAGCAGTACCTCTTATCCCAGCCATCTGGGAACACATCGAAGCTTATTTGGCCTCCTAGGATAGACAAGAACCAAGTGAACTTTGTTTTATTTTAAGAACCCATTTCTGAGGGGAGAGTAAGTGAGAAAAACTAAACTGGGTAAGACTGTTGGTAGAGGGAGCTTTGCAGAAGTCACAGAAATGTTATGAGATGCTGGAGTTAAGTCTTAAAAGTACAGAAAGTGTTTTATAGGGCATCATTTATTACAGTTGTGATTTACCCATTATTATTTACCCATTAAACAAATATGAAAGTCGTAGAATGTTCTCAAATGCTCACTGCTCTCAAACTGAACCTTTTTTAAAAATTAATCTTTTTACTTTTAGAAAGAAGCTACATGAATGAATACAGCCATTGGTGTATGTACAGCCATAAAGTCTTATGCAAAAGAATTTCTAAAGCTTTCAGAATAGAAAAAGGAGGAAATTAGCCTTTTTAACACAGCCTAAGAGGACAACTGTTCCAGTTCAAAAATCCCTGGATTTTACCAATACATAAAAGCGTGATTCCCAGTTGAAGCGGGTATCAAAAAGGTATTTACAACATGCTGTAGGAGAGCTATATTGCAGTTCATTTCTGCTTCAGTGTTTCAATACCACAGCACTGATCGCAACCATACTTTTTTATAATTCTGAAAAGTAATAAAAGGCAAGAACGTGGTAGTATATTGGGGGAAAGAGAAAAAAAAAGCATGGAAAATCAATTCCCCCTTATTATCGCTTTTCTCTTTAAGCTTGCGCTTGCTTTTGGATTTCCTCTCCTTCCTCCCACACAATCCAGCTACAGAGCTGAAGAACCAAGGGCTGCTGGAACATTACTGATGTAGTATTTCTGATCAAAATTGGTTCGCAGAAACAACTCTGACTAATCAGAAGCATGTAATATGTTTCAAAATGAGCAGAATCAGTCACGTAACTGACATTAAAAGACAATGAACTGATGACAAGCAATGAAGTTCTCTTTGTTGATGGATTTCAATTAAAATGTACCAAATGAAAGCCCAAGAGGAAAAAGAGGCTTAGTCTTGCATGCAATGCCTGCAACCCCCCCCGGAAAGCTAACTGTTACACAGATGAGATAGGATATGCCACAGCCATAAGAGGATACAATTTAAGTGAAATTTAAATTAAATGAGGTTTTAAATGAAATTCTTTTTATCTGATACCTATAGAAAATGTGAGGCCTTTTCCTGCAAATTCTCTTCGTAAATCAGCTACAAATTTCTCTCTTATATGTTCCTTCTGTTAAAAAAAAACAAAAAAACAAAACCAAAACAAAACCAAACATCAGTTATGTGCTGTGTTAAGTCATCAATAAAAAAATAACCCAAAAACCCACCCCCAAAATATCCAAAGATCTGAGTACCAGGACTAGTGTGATATAGCTACATTTTATTATTACTGAAAGCATGCTGAGAATATTTCCACTTCAATCTGTTACCAATTTGTAAAAAATGAGAGCAAAACCTTACATACATGCTGTGATACTTGCTTTTCTACCTGAAAATCTTAGAATACTAAGGAAGTGCGCTCAACTCCCAGTAAAATTCAGTTTTACAAACGGGGAGACTGAGGCGTAGGAAGAGTCTCAAAACTGGTACTAATCTTCCAACGCCATATACTCCAAAAAGGGTATCTTTAGAATGCCTTGGGCTTAGATATTTTTCAGCATCCATTAACTGAGACACAGGCAAAGACTGCTTTTGAGGAATTAGATTTCAGGTCAGAAACAGTTGTTATAGTGTAGCAGGGAACAGAACTCTGATACCATGGCTCAGATTCATTTCAGCCTCACACATTTAGCTGTGTACAAAGGAAAATAAATGGTGAATAGTTTGACTTCAGCTTTTAAATTCTGCTTTAAAGATATGATGTCAAAAGAAGGAATAGTTTTATCGATTTGAATGCATATAGGCTGGTATACTAAAGAGCACTCCAAAGAAGTATGGTTTTATCTATGACAGTGCTTTTCAGGAAAAGAAACGTAAGCCAAACCCATCCCTTCTGCAAGTAATCATTGTTAACTATTGCAACGAGAAAACCCTATTGTGCATTTCCTGAAGTCTGAATGAAGAAGTTAGTTAAACCACATGGAAAGGATTAAAATGAAAAAAATTTCACAGTGTATAAAAGCTTTTTAAAAACCATAACCTGGCCATATCTGCCTCTTCCTGAAGAGCTGGATATTTTTCAAGAGTTGCAACTCACTTTATCAAGTTCATAGAACTCAATTCGTTCTTCCTGGCTGCAGCTTCGTCCAATGGGGGACACATTTAACATGCCGTTTCGGAACTCAATAAAAGTGCCCCTGAAAAAGAATTGATTAACGAGACAGAAAATAGATGAAAAATTGCTCAAAATACTGAATATCACAATAAACTTCCGTTTAATTCCGAAGACAATGGGAATCAGATGTCTCCTTCAGCCTCTCCTTGTGTTCATAAAACCCCCAAACATGTAGGAACCAATACCTCTGGCATCAAGGAGTCTTTTGGACTTTTATTTGCATCTGGCAACCTCAACATCATTCTTACTGGCTTTAAAAGTATGATTTCATTTTAAAAATATGACTGGAGCATCCTGCCAACCCAATTCTCAGACCCTGACAGGCCAGTCTGTCAGCTTTGGGGTGAAGCGGCAAAATTTAGAGCAATCTTGGCAGTGTTTCTGTCTATCCTCCCATATGGTAAGCATTAGTCAGCTGCACCCTGACATGTCACATAGAGCTGATCTTACTGCACACTTCTAATTTCTGGAAAACATTATGCTGCTGAATTCCAAACATGTCAAGGAAATGCTCCTACTTTGAAATTGAACTTTCTTCCCTCTTAAATAAAAATGCTGAATCAGTATTTCAAATCCTATGCTCCAGCTGGGAGCTTGTCTTTGTACACATGGATTGAGCTGTTTCACGGATACAGGGTTCCTAAAACACAAAGTATTCATTTTTTGCTGAGCAGCCCGCTTTACATATTGACGCTCAACACTATAACGTGGAGAATATGGTGACACTGAGATGTGTGTATGCACATACCTTTTCTTTGGCAGTTTAATCTTTGCAATATAACTCAGGCAGTAGTTGATTAGATCTTGAAGTATGTCCTCACCCAGGTGACCCTGAATGTTCTAACAAAATAAATACCATTCAACCAAGAGTCCAGAATTTGAGATTCTAGAAACAAGTTGCATGGAAAATGCAGACACTGGATAATCGGGCATGGTTAATACCACAAAGAAACATGCCTTCCATAAGTAACTCTCAGTTGATGCACACAGGGTATTAACTAAAGGCTCTCATTTTTTCTTTTTACTTTGTTTCTTTTAAACCAAACCACCAAACTCTCATTTAATGTACTCCCTACTAGTACCTGCTTTAGAAGGAAACAGTGGGGGCCAAAGACTGCAGACCTAAACAAAAAGTTGCAGTTAATGTCTACTGTAGCCAAGCATGAAGAAATGGAGATCGTTACTGCAGTAAATTGGAAACCACTGCTCAAGTTGGCAATTTCAGCCAGGATCTCTTTTAAATTTTTCATCTCCGCTACTTATGTTGAACCGATGAAGGTGATTAGGGTATCTAGAATCAGATGTACATTTATATTAATTTAGAGTATTTACCTTCTAGTTTATGCAACGTATCAGAATGTGCACTCTGAATTAACACTAAAAAGCAGCTACAAGAGAGCTACAAGAAACTTTCTGAACCCTAAGGCCCAATAGGCATCAGCTATGAAAAGCCGTATTCCATAGGACCTCCAGGAGCAGAGGGCTTGGGCACATTTCCTATAGATAAACAGAGGGAAAGGCTGTTCCAGGATTTTCACTGTTCTTATTCGACCAGGCACTCCAGAATCCAATAGCTTTAGTTTGGAGAATACCCCAAGGAATAAAGCTTAAGGTGAAGATTGCCATTACATGAATCAGAGCATCAAATGAATGATCTGTTACAGAAGTAACACATGAAAATAGCAGCAATTTTGGCCTTAGTTAGAAGGGTGATTACAGAGGACTGCACTGTAGCAACAAAGCAAAATCTTGTTTAGAAAATTTCACTTTACTGGAAATGTCACACTTACCTGCTTGCTCAAGAATTTCCCATCTTTGTATGCTACAAGACCGTTTTCTGGAAAAACGTAGTCAAATTTTTCAACCACTACAACCAAACAAACAGACAGTAACTTGTAACTTCCCCTGTATGTTTAATGCAGAATTGTCTTACACATTAAATAGGTTAAAATACAGCAAACAATAGATCATAAGCATGAAAGATTCAGCAGCATAACGTAGAGCACAAGATGAAAACCACTCTCATTTCTCTCCAAGATTAACACACACCTCAAATCACATGGAATCTTTCAGTTAAGTTACCTGTACTTTTGCTTAAAGGCTCTTCCTCTCCTGCAAGTATGTCTCTTTGCATTAAATGTAAGGGAGTGACTGAACACCTCAAATCTTCCAAAAACCTGGCACAAGGCTTGGCTAGAGAGCAAATCAAATACTACCATTTTAGGTTTGTTTTCTCAGCATTGCTAATCTACAGTAGATGTCCGAGAGCTGCGAGAATCTTACTACAATGCAAGATGATATGGCTTACTGGAGACCACCTGTAAGCCAAACAAATTCTGAGTTATTTGGGCGTTAAGGAAGGCTACCAGTGGCACCAATTTGGTAAAGACCATTAAAGATAGTCTTTTATAGAGAAAAGGAAATGCTGCTCAAAGGACTAAAGCGGGGATCCATCTCTGCATCATAACCCCACAGTTAACAACATCAGATCCTTCAGGGATGCGCTCGACAACAGAGCAGCCTGCATGCGTATACGTAAGGTACATAATTCCACTGTAAAGACAAAGTTAAAACGCCCTGTAAGGTACTGTCACAAACTCAGGATTTTGCCATTAGTAACAATCCCTTAATAAGACACCGAGATATCTGTAAAATGCAAACACAGGTTGCAGTTTCTGAATGCGTGTAAATGGTTCTTCGTAGACTGAGTGCAGCACGACAAAACCAGGAAAAACGTTAAAAGCAAGGAAGGAGGAGAATGAATGGGGTTTAACCTACGTTTAACCTTCACGACTTCCTTGCAGGCCACTCGGCGCAAGGGGTTGCATCAGTCGCCACCCTTACCGTCATCGCCAAGCTGCTCCTTGATCTTTTCAAAGTCTGAACCACCCACGACTCCAACTTTCACCTTCTGACGCAACTTCTGCAGAAACGCGGCCATCTCCGCTGTGATTTTCTGGGTTCCAAAACGAAACTATTAGATTTGTCAGCGTTCTTATCATGAGACCGGCTTCTGTATTTCGCGGTAATTATTAAAGCCCAGCAACACGGTGCGGATCTTTAGGAAGAAGGGAGGGATTTTTTTTTTTTTTGCCTTAAGCGGCAAGGTAAGTTGCTCGCGGGGCATCAGGGAGGCGGCCGCAGACCCCGCCGTGCGCACACGCTGTGCTGTTGGCCGAGAGCCCTTACATAAAAGCCCGTGCCCGTCCGGTGCCGAAGCCCGGCCCGCGGGGCGCCGTGCCCCGGCGCCTCCGACAGCCCC